CATAATATTCTAAGAATAATTTCCTATTTTCCTTCAGTTTGTTTTTCATCCTATCTGCAACTTGGTTGGTGCATGTTCACAGTTCTGAGATGGAGTTAAGACGACTTTGGTATAATATCCCTTCCCACAATGCTTCTAGACTTAATCATGATGTGTCACTTTAAGTTAGATTATTTCAGCTACAATTTTGTCTTAATCAGTTGGTGCTATTATCATTAATAGTAGATTATATACATTGCCCCAGCCTCAATGTTGAATTTATCTTTCTTTGAATGTTATTTGATTTTGTACTTCATTTGTCTTTTATTTTATAATTATAAACTAGATAATATATGTTGTGTAAATTATAAATGCATTTATAAACAAATTTATAAGATTTTTAATGTCTAACATATTTGATCAGATATGTTTATTTTGATAGAATAAGAATGACTCAGTACATAATTGTATTTACATTCAACACATTATAAAAGTTTGTTTATAAATATTTGGTAGAACAAACAGAACTTTTAAGCAAAGTCATATGAGGGACTAGTGAGAATTAGTTTGTATGAATGAGCAGCCTTCATGTATGGAGGTACCGATATTTTGATACTCAGTTCATCTTCAGGCTTTTGCTGGGTTCTTTTTTTGTCTCGGATGTCTCACTATATTCTCATTTGATGATAATGATTTATTTTTAAGTATATTTTTGGAGTCACAATCAAAAGTTACTGTAAAGCAATTTCACACTCTAAAATATGTATTTGTGATGGCACATCAGCTATGATATGTAGGTCCAAAGGTCACATTTGAATGTCTTCAGGATCTAAAAATATTTTGAGGCAGAATACTCATGGTTAACATTCTAAAGCAGCATTTCATTTGTTTAAGGATGGCAGTGCTAGGTATAGGAAAAGCCCTGAATTTTTTCTCTGAGCACATCTTTGTTCTAGTTATGATTCTATGAGCTTAGAAACATATTTGGCATTGGGTGATGGTGAGGTTTGCCTGTATTATCATCTCTACTCTAGTCTCAAGGATAATGCTGTAAATGTAACTGGAATTCCAGGGCCGTTACCTTGTTTTTCTCCTTTCCTCTCCCTCCTTAGTGTTCCCTGGTTTCCTCTGTCCTGATGTTGAGATTCATTCATTTGTGTCATCACATCAGTCAAATTATTTTTCCATGCACAATTTGAAAACATAGAGCCAGTTACCTGAGGATAGCTTTTTCTCTATTTCTCTGATGATAAATGCAAGAATTATGCAAATTCTGATGATCTGATTCTTTTCTAAGGGCTACTGTTTTCAGACAAAACATACAGGTATTCAAAAGAATTATAAAAACTATATAGAGTTAGAATTGGATCACTCTTCTTCCAAAGGTCACTGATATATAAGCAAGGACTAATCTTCAATTTTCAGCAAATGAACTTTGGCTTATAGAATGAATAATTTTCGTTTTGATGTGGCAATGCCCATCAATATGGAACTCTACATGGCAAGGTTACTAAATTCTGATCTTAAATAACTTTTAAGTTCCTAACTCCCTCGTTGAAATTGCCAGTGGTTAACATACTTTCTTAAATAAAGACATGTTCTTTGAAAGTTAGACTGTAAGACACTGTATTCAATGAGATAGACATATTTCCCATAAAAAATCTAGCAAATTTATATTTTCATAAAGGTTAATACAGGATGGGCTGGAGAGATGGCACAGTGGTTAAGAACACTGACTGTTTGTGCAAAAGACCCAAGTTCGAATCCCAGCACCCACATGGCAGCTAACAACTGTCCATAACTTCAGTTCGTGGGGATCCGACATCCTCTTCTGTCTTTCACAGCATTGCATGACATGGGTGCACTTATCTACATGCAGGCAATACATGCATACACATAAAACAAAAATAATAAATAAAATATTAAAAACAAAAATTTAATAAGGAGATAAACAATCTTGTAAAAGAGAAAGATATTTATTCAATTTTTTTCTTTTCTAAAAACTAGTTCAAATAAAAAAATGTTATAATGAACATGAGTGACAAACATATCAGTACTGGAGTTAACTTGCAATATGGAATTCATGTATTTTGGTTCTTTGCGCAAAGCTGCTCCCCATCTCAATGTGAGTCTCTAACTCTCTTTCAATAGTCAGAGAGACAGTACCTTTAATTCCTCATCATTCACTCTTACTCTTCCTTTCAATTTGCCAAATTTATGAAGCTCTCCTACAATGCAAACTCTTATTTTAGGGTTTGAATTTGTTAAGTTCTTTTCTTGGAACATTCTTTAGATATCTAAGTGTCTATTTAAATCACTTTCATCATTTTGTTTAAATAATGGATCTTATAAGAGTAATTCACTGAACATCTTACATGTGACATGGTGAATGATGATTCCTAGTGATATTTAATCCTAATCTCTAAAATCTATGCTAACACACATGGAAAAAAATGATTGTTCAGGCATGAGTCAGTGGAAGACCCTGAGAAGGGAGGATATCCTTGATTATTGGAGTCAGCCATAAGCATAACTGCAAGTGCTCTTGCAAACTCTGCACAGAAGATTTGCTATGGAAGAAGAAACAGTTTGTCTTAAAAGAAAAGAAGCAGATGATACATAGAGAAACTTTAGAAGCTCAAAAGGAGCTTCAAGCAACAAAATGTTTCCTCTCTTAGGTCCTCTGGAAGGAGTTTGGCCCCACTGACACACAGATTCATCCAGTAGGATATTAGAATTCTAACCTTCAAACAGTAAGTGACTAAGTATTTGTTATTTTAAGCAACATGAATTTTTGTTAAATTGTGGCACTAACCTCAGAAAAGTAATATTTATAATGTATTACTTGCTATTTATTTCTATTCACCCTTCTTCCTTTAATATTTATATACTATTTAATCTTCTGTATATATCAATATGAATTTATTTCCCTAATACTACATCAGTTAGATAAAGACAAGCATTGCCTTGTTAAGTGCTCTAGCTCTAGCAAATAAATTTATTGGCCCAAATTAATAATCAATATTTTTATTTAAAGTTTTACACAGCTTTACCTAAGGTCAAGAGGATGAAATGCAAGAAGTACCCTCCCAAACAGGAGCCTCTCATCCTATCTTTTGCAAATAATGAGAGGTTCTCCTATCTGGGTTTTGGGGGGGTTGTTTGGGGGTTTTTTTGTTTGTTTGTTTTTGCAGCAGGGTCTCTCTGTAGCCACAGCTGGCCTGAAAATCATTATGTAGACCAGACTGACCTTGATCTCACAGAGATTCACCTGTCTCACCTGTGTCTGTCTCCTAGGATTAAAAGTATGCACCACCACACCCAATGTGGTTTATATTTTTTAATTTGGAGAACAAACAAAAGTGCAAAACCAAAATTGTACGAAGATGTGAAGGCAAAAATTGTAGTATGAAATGAAAACCCTGACTTTTAAACACTCATAACACAAAATAAAAAGTGAAAAAAATAATCTATATTTCTTTTTCTTAATTAATTCTCCAGAAGAGAACAGTTTTGATCTGTTAAGTTAGGAATCTGGGTGGAAGATGAGGACAAAATTTATCTGAGGTGTGAGATTTGGGAAAAAAGGATGGCATATTATGGAAGTCAGTGACCAGCTTAATTAGAACTAAACAACACCTACAAAAGTTAGTCATAGGATATCAGAGGTTTTCTTATTACAAGATTCTAGATAGTTTTTATTCTGTGAGGCAGAGAATAGTGTATGTTAGAAAATGAGCTAGAATATAGGTACCAACCTCTGGATTTGAATGTCAGTTCCCCTAATAGGCTTGGGAGAAAAGAATGCCTGTCTTCCTTTTTTCTTCTGTGAGAGCAGAGAATAAACTAATTTAAGTTGCCATCATTTGAAGCTCAGTGTATGAGCTGTACTCTCTTACTTACATATGGGCTGCTGCTGAGGGTTATCTCTTGGCTTAATCTACCACAGGTTAACCCTAAATGTCTCATCCTATTGTGGATATCTGTTCCTGAAGGAAACTCTGCTTGTCATCTGAGTGGCCTGATCTTGTTTTGCAATTAAGGAGCTATAAACAAATGAAAACATGGCAATTTGGAATCAAACAGGTGTGAAAGAATTCATCCTGGTAGGTTTAACTGAAAACCCTACCTTGCAGGTTCCTCTCTTCTTACTTTTCAGCCTTATCTATCTCATAACACTTTTAGGGAATTGGGGGATGATTGCCTTGATCTGGTTGAATTCTCAACTTCATACACCAATGTACTTCTTCCTTAGCAACCTCTCTTTCTGTGACATCTGCTACTCTACTGTCTTTGCTCCTAAGATGCTGGTTAATTTTTTATCAGAACATAAGTCCAGTGTATTCTTCGCTTGTGTTCTACAGAGTTTCTTTTTTGCTGTGTATATAACCACAGAAGGTATCCTCCTGTCTATGATGGCTTATGACCGCTATGTGGCCATTGCAAACCCCTTATTGTACACAGTCACTATGACCCAAAGACTTTGCATGCAAATGGTTCTTGCATCTTACTTGGGAGGACTCATTAATTCATTGACACACACAATAGGCTTGGTCAGACTAGACTTCTGTGGTCCAAACGTTGTGAATCACTACTTCTGTGACATTCCTCCACTTTTGAAGCTCTCATGCTCAGATGCACGCACCAATGAGATGCTGCTTCTGATCTTCTCTGGAGTGTTTGCGGTGTTCACTTTTATCATAATCATGATCTCTTATATTCAAATTTTCATTGCAATACAGAGAATCCGGTCAGCCGAGGGGAGGCACAAAGCTTTCTCCACTTGTGCATCCCATCTGACAGCAGTAACTTTATTCTATGGGTCTGTGACTTTTAGCTATATCCAGCCAAGTTCTCAGTATTCCTTGGAACAGGAGAAGGTGTCTGCTGTGTTTTACACATTGATCATCCCTATGTTAAACCCACTGATTTATAGCCTGAGGAATAAAGATGTACAAGAAGCAGTAAAAAGATCAATTTGTCAGAAAAGGGGCACTTCTTGACTCAATCTTATCACCGTCTTTGGAAATTTTACATCAATCATCAAACAGATTGCATATGAAGTTGTATCAGTGATACCATGGAAAACAAACTATAAATTAGGTTTTTTTCAGAAGAAGCATTTCATTACAGTTTTAACATACTCAATGACAATTTCCAGAGCAAAGACACATCTCTTTAAAAGTGGCTACAAAATTTTTTAGGTTCACACTTGAATTAATACAATTATACAATATTGAACTCAGTATAAACCCTGTAAGACATAAAATTGAATGAGTTTTTAACCTTTAAAAAGGATCCCCATTTCATTTTAAAGTATACTCTTTCTTACATAAAGACTCATTGTTTTTGCTAATACCACTCAGATGTTGGCACATGTGTCTCTAATCTGTATGTATCCTATTATTACCAGTCATGGTTGGTTGCACTCTGATCCTTGACACCTATGTATGGAGTATATATACAGTCATCAGGTAGATTTCAAGGGTAATATTTATCACCCATAATAATTAACATGACATAATTTTTATGCTTCCTCCTCAAATATAACTCATTTTTTAAATTTATTTTTTGTGTATATATTACACAAAACATTTCAAACAAATTTATTAATCTATATACCTACTTCCCAGATGGCACCCTCCCATAGCCTTCCCCCTCACTAGAGACCTTATACTCTGTCATCTCTGCTAGCGTCTGCTGCGTTGTCTGTACCCCAGCCATTCCCCAGTACTTGTCCATCCGGTGAATCTAGTCACCCTATCTAGAAGTCTTTGTTTTAGGAAGATCAGCTGTTCCACATCTAGCAGCAATCAGTTGTCAATATTCCTTTAGATAAGATTGGTGTCTGGTGTTCATTTTCCCAGTTTTATGTTGGGTTGCTATCTGGGCATTTCTTGGGCCACCCCGGCCAACATCTCAAAAGAAGGTATCTCCTATCTGGTATTGTTGCTTGTTATGTAGCCTTTAGCTATACATATGGAATCTTAAAAAAATTATATTGGACCCTTTAAATTTCCTTTTGGGTGTTTAAAGCCATAAAGTTGGCCCAGATAAACCAATTTATTTTTACTCCTAGGCTGTTTGAGGATCTGTTCCTCATGTGTCACATGGGCTTGGGGGAGCCCCTGGCTCCTTTCTTTTACCAGTTCCATCTATGTGAAGATAAGTCAGAGGTCCTACTCAACCATGGCTGGCATGGAGGAAATGATTCCTCTGTGTTGACCCTCCTCTTTGTAGACTGGACACTGGTTCAAGTCCATCTTGTGGGATCTCCAACACCTCCTTGATCAAGAGGACAGAGTTTTTCTTATACTATTTGCAGCCAAAGTATTTCGTTTGATCTGAAAACTGAACAACCTTTGTTAATGCAGCAGCCAAAATATTTACTATTTTAAAAACATTTTCTAATATTCTTTCATGTTTAAATCTGAAGATTATTGTAATTTTTGAAAATAGTCATGTAATAATTTATATCAATAAAATAGTTTGCACATTAGTGTCTCAGAGAAAACTTAAAATGATCCCATGGTGTAGTTTTCATAGATCCTGTCTCCTTCTTTTTCTCTTAAAAAATAACTTCATATAAGTTAAAATGAATATATCAGAATTTGTATATAAACTTTAATAAACTTGTAAATGGTAAGAGAAAATAAATCTAATTATTCATATTTTTAAATAAGGAAACTTCTATGGAATATCTGTAGTTGTCCAGATGCTGTTTCATACAAATTTAAAGATATTTAAGTGAAGCACTGAAGAGATGGATCAGCAGTTAAGAGCACTGACTGCTCTTGCTGAGGACACAGGTTCGATTCCCATCACCGACATGACAGCTAACAACTGTCCATAATTTCAGTTCCAGTGGATCATACACCATCTTCTGTCCTCCTTGGACATTGAAAGACATAGCTGTACTTACATACATGCAGGAAATACACTAATGCACATAAAATCATACAAGTAATAAAGATAAAGGAAAAAGGAAGATATTTAAGTTATTGAACTATTTGGGCATGGTTGCACATACCTTTAACCCAACACTCAAGAGGCAGAAGCAGAAGGAACTCTATGAGATTGAGGGCAGACTGGTCTATATATGTATACATGGAGTTCCATGCCAGCTGGGTGCCACAGGGAGACTTGGTGTCAAAGAACAAACAAACAAACAAAGACAAAAAAGCACAAAAGAGATTGAGCAAAAGTTGATAAATAAATGCAAAATGAAAAGAACTCTTTAAGCATAAAAAATGTCACTTTTTCTCTAATGTAGGGCTTTTAGGTAAAGGAGTAGAGAGACTGGGATGGGCAAGTTAGATAGTGCAATATATTTGCAGGTGTTGAATACTGGGATAACATATTTGTCTTTCTTTCCTTCTCTTCCTCCTACCTCCATCTTTTCTTTCCTTCTTTCCCCCCTTTTTTCTCTTTTCTTTCTTTCTTTCGTCAGTCTTTCTTTCAGTTAGATTACAAATACCAGATTTCCTTATGACATCTTCATACAGGTCTTAAAGTCATCTCAATGACTATACAGGAGTGCTAAAATGAATTCAAATGTAGTGTTTTAGAATGAGTTCCACAATTTTAATGCCAAAAATATTCTGGAAGATTAAAGAACAAATGTTATTAATTTTAAAAATCTGAAATCATGAAGATTAAAGAAAATCTTCTGAGAGATATGAGCTATGGCAGACAAGTGACAGAATATACATTTAAGAGAGTACATGTAAACCATAGTCAGAACTCGAGAAATTTATAAACTTTCACATCTTTATTTTGTTATTGTGATAAAAAGGATTTATAATGAAGGTAAGTATTTGAACTTCAATAACTGGAAACCTTGAGATATAAGAAAATGTGTTCCAGTATGACTATTAAAGAATTTACAACAAGAGAGTAGGAGAGAACAGAGCCTTAGAGGGGAAATTTTCTACAAATTTAAAAATAAATCAGCCAGATAGAACTGGCACAAAGGTAAAGAAGAAGAAAAACTTAAAAAATGAACCAGATCATATGAGGGTCAGTATGTATAGGGACATTGAAATTGAATACCGAGAAAGGCGAATTACTCAATATAAATATGAAAAAGTTGTTCTGGCTGACTAGCAAATGGATAATAGAATGTTTTTCTAATAATGGAATTGCAGAAGCTATTAATAATTGATGAACTACTGAAAGCCAAATGTAAGAGACAGAAACCCAAGTAAGATGCTGCACAGTGACTCAACCACATGGCATGTTAAACAGGAGCTAATGCAATAAGCCTCGGAAAAAGATAAATATAGACTGTGTCTTGAGTATACTCTGACAAAATGTTAATGAATGTAGGGTCATCAAAGATGATTTCAAGATACTTTCAACAAACTGAAACAAATAGATAATATTGTCCACTGTATAAAATGTGTAATTGTACAATTATATACATAATAAGCCCCCCAAAGCCTTTCCTTATAAATCAAAGGATGATATGTGAAAATTACTTTCCTGTGGAAGTGAAAGTAAAATTTTGTAAATTCCCTTGAAAAGAAGTAATAATTATGCTTTTGTAGTTTCATAGATATGTTTATAAATAGGTCAATGAGTTTAGTGTGATGTTTATGTTTTTTTTAAATTTTATTTATTATTTTTATTTTATGTGTATACATGTATTGCCTGCATGTAGGTAAGTGCACCCGTGTAGTGCAATGCCTGCTGTCAGATTCCCTGGGAATGGAGTTATGGACAGTTGTTAGGTGCCACATGGTTTCTGGAATTCGAACCCGGGTCTTCTGCAAGAACAACCAGTGTTCTTAATTGCTGAGTCATCTCTCCAGCCCTAGATGTTTATGATTTTTAAAATCTGAAAATCTTTGAAGGAGAAAATCTAAAAAAATTTCAAATCTGCCAAATCAAGGTGATTCTATATTTAAATAACACAAGAATCAAAATTTGCACAATGTAAATAATATGGCATAGTAAATAGTTTTAAACACCTGAAAGGTCAAACCATTGCATTGATTAGGTCTCAATATTGACAAAACTTAAATATATATAGCATACTAGCAAAATGCATTGCACTATTATATAAAATATATGTGCATATGTGTGTATATACTATTAAGTATTGAGATAGTTTCAGAGTAAAAAATAAAAATGCCTATTGAACCTGCTGTTTGTAAGCAACAGGTTTATGAGTAATCATTTAATCTTACATTTCACATTCAAAACACAGCAATGATCAAAGATGCCTAACATACACAAGATGAGTAACAGGAAATCATGACAATTATACATCAGAAAAAAAATCTACTTAAAGAAAAATTTTAAAAAATCAGAAAACAAATGTATCAAATGGGGATTAAAACAAAGGGGCTGGAGAGATGACTCAGCAGTTAGGAGCACTGTCCGCTTTTGCTGAAGACCCGGGTTTGAGTCCCAGTACCCACATGGTGGCTAACAATCATCCTTAACTTCAGTTTCAGGGGACTATGACATCTTCTTCTGACCACTACAGGGATTGCACGACACGGGTCCATTTACATAGATATAGGCAATACTCTCATACACATAAAATAAAAAGAGTAAATATAATATTTAAAAATAAGAAACCAAAGAATCCTCAGTGAGCTAAAAGAATGATAAAATACAGAAAATAGTAAAATTGAAAATAAATCAATATAGTGTCCTTTGAAAAACAAAAATGAGTGTAAATTAATACAAACTTTAAAATTGTTGTGGCATCATAAATCATATCAGTTTTACTCAGTGAGGTCCCCAAGACAACAAAAAGACAAAGACAAAGTAACCTGCAATTGCAGAATGAGTTGAAGCAACTGGTGAAAAAATCCTATAGTGCATTTACTGGCTATTTCCATTATTGTACAATGCATGATAATTATATTTATAATTAGGTCTTTATATGGATACAAATTTATTTTAAGTTACTCTGACACTGGTTCAAGAATAATAACAGAGATTTTATACAGTAAGTGCATAGATTTTCAGCATTCTCTCAGGTCACACT